CCAGGTCAATATTCTTGCTTGACATGCATGACAGCTGGTAATAGGCCATCATTGTTATCACCTTGCTATTATAATCAATCAGATGATCACACTTCATCGTCTGAATTACAGACTTAGATCCATCATTGTAATCACCTTGCTATCATAATCAATCAAATGATCACACTTCATCGTCTGAATTACAGATAACTTAGATGCATCATTATAATTTGCCAGAAATCACAAGTTCAATAAATAGTTTGATTAAATCCAGTTTGTAAACTGGCAATGTGACGAACTTTTTTTTCTTCAAATGCACCGATTTTGATCTTGAACAAAAATGTGATTATTTTCCTCTGCATGCTTCAATTCATTTTCAATCAAAGAAATATACACTGGTACAATTGTATTATCAATCAAATACATACATATATTACACTATGACATGATTAAATGTTACCTTGTCAACAAAAATTAGCAGCAGATAAGAATATTTGAGCAAATTCAATGTAAAACTGCAATTGGCATAAAATATATATTTGCATGTACTATCACGTATAATTGTTGAGTCATCAATGAAATACAGGTCATTAAAAGACAAACTTCTAAATTTAAGTCGAACTTCAACAAATTACAAATGAAACTCCAGAACTTCAATAGATTACAAATGAATAGGTTGAATTTCAGCACAGTTTTACGGTGAAGAGACTTCAAAAGGCTCTGAAGTTTCAATAGAAAGTACTTTTAAAATTTGTACATAATTTTACAATGAAGCGGATTACTTTCTATATATATACATGATATGTTAAGATTTTAAATACAGAGTGAAATGCTTAATTAGTTCTCCATACATTTGTATGTCAAACAGCGGAAACGTAACGCGAATACCAAATCACGACAAGGCAGATAGGCACGAAAAATTGACATCAAAATAAAATTGCTTTCTGTGAACCAAAACAATGAAATGAAGTATATCAATACTGGTTTAAAACAGAGTCATGAAATGAAGTATATCAATACCGGTTTAAAACAAAGAGTGTTGGCAAGTTCCTCTTCCTGGGTAAGACTGAAGGATTTCTTTTGTGCTGGTAATTTCACATCTAGATTAAACTTCAATGTTCACTGGATTTGGCATTTTACTTTATTTTGTATACAAGATTTTAAGTACTTGGTTTGGGAAAATATTACAGATTATAACAAATCATATGCAGTCTGGTGAAATGGCCATCAATCTGCTGTACAGTGTCAATGTGTTTTACCTTTAACTTGTTCCGAGCCATGTTCACTTAATTAGACTCAATTGTATTTTCAATTTACAATGTATTGGAATGTAGCTAGTACATGTAGGTGTTTCAATCTTGAACTCTTGGTGCTGTTTTAAGATTGATTACTATACCACCATCCTTGACAACTTTTTGACCACATTTGCCAAGGTTGGTGTTTATATATGTCCTAGGTATTTGCCCATTTTGAAAGTGTCACTGTATTTGGCTGATATTAGTGTCAGGTGGAGCTTCCTTACCTTAATATTACACTTGTTAGGAGTTTTCTTACCACCTTCTCAAGTGAAGTAATTTTACATCATACGTGACATTTGTATGTTTGTTCTTAAATACCACTGATCTTTCTTTTTCAGCAGTAAAATTCATTTATAAGTATTCTGTACATAGTGTGTGTGAATGTTTCTGTTAATTACCCAAAACGTTCATTCAAAATGTTTGGGATCAAATTCTTTTTTCTTCTTCTTATTTAATCATTTATTTAAATTGAATTGCAGTTCAGAGAAAATCTAATTAAGACATCAGTGTGTTTATATCTTTGATGTTTGGAGTTTTTAGGGGATTATTTCTGTGTGTGCGACTGCAGTGGTTTAATAACAAATGTGTAAACATGATTGGTTGTGTTGAACGGTCTCTCATTAACTTCGGTTCTATTCAAGCCAGGTGCAGTATGTTTATCTTTATACCATCACTTGGTTATAAATCTGAATTTTTCTTTTTAACAAATATCTCTAAAACCAAGTACATGTACATCTAAACACCTGTGTTTGTTTTGAGCAATAATTGTTGTTGGTTTTTTAAAGATCTTGTGTTCTTTGTTAACTGTGCACCAACAAATATCAAATACACAGATTTAAAGAAATCCTGAGTAAATGTAAGGATTTTTTCAAGTTAAATATAAAAACATCGGGTTTGGAATCTGTACAGTACCATCAATCACACCACAAGGCTTTTTGTTCTATGGAAACATCACTCTTGCAATTGGTGCTTTTTTACATCCAGGTGCACTAGCTAGGATCCCACATTTCTCCTGTTTCCAAAAGTCTTGTAGCATTATCTTTGTATCCACCATGACGATTTGAAATCCAGTATTGATATATTTACTTCAATGAGAAAACAATTTTATCAAGATCAACTTAAATTTTAATAAAGGTATATATTTTGCAAATATTTTAACCATCAAGGCACCATGACAGGTCCCCACAAAATGGATCATTTTTTTCTGGGTTTTTTCCTGCAATAGTTGGTATCATTAATGCTGTTTGTTGTCCAGCAGTTATGTTTCGCGATGCATATTAAGATTTTTCCGATATTTTCCTAAACAAATAACTTGTTTGTTGTACTGTTATGTGTTACCTGTAACTCAAAAACTGAAACAGGAACGTTTTCCGGTCATCTCTTAGCTTGTTATTGTTCACTTTTTCCTTGGTCGGCCAGATGCTTTCAATCAGTCTCACTCAAGCGTCTGAATGGTGCAAGGTAGCGCATGATGAAACGAAGTTCAATGTCCTTCCAAACCAAATTTACTGAATTAAATCCACATGTGAAATACTGCTGCTTATATCTCCGTTGCCATGTTTTGGTTGGCAAACACAAACAGATTGTCAAAAATCAGTCATATTGATAACTAATTAACGACTTTTGGAGGATTCTACTGAAATTTTTATTTAAGTGTAACTGATTTTAATATTGAACTGAACTTCTTAAATTTAAAGCAAAATAGATCATTTCAGGTCAGTGTTATTATTTTTTCATTTTGTAATTGTTTCCTTGATATCAATTGCCAGACAGACGTTCAATGTCTGCTGTCATGTTCATTCTATTATATAATATATTTTCTGCGATTTTAGTTTCATCTGATCTAAAAGTTTATTTGATGAAGAATTTTAAAGATCGAATAAATCCTTGTCTGTGTTGTTTTACTTTACATCTGAATTTTGTATCTTATAGGAAGGTTTTATTAACTTACCTTATTCACCGTAATTAGCACCGTGTGCGCTTAAAATTAGCTTAATGGGGCACTTATTTTGGCAATTAAATGTGAGTTATGATAGAACTGTGCAACTTCAAATGATAACAGCATAACACAGTGGCGGATCCAGAGGTTTTTTTGGGGCTTCAGGAAATCCCCCAAGTCTGATAATTTTCTTTAAAAATCATGTATTTTCACCAATTTCCACACATGGAAATCCCCCCTGAAAATTTGGAACCCCCCCCCCCAGATAGGTCTCTGGATCCGCCACTGTAACAGAAGGACAAAATATAGTGTTGTTGGAGGTTTGGATATCAGCTGTCCATCTGCTTCACAGGAAGTTCTACCTGTTTATAAGTGGTATTACTGTATATCATTCACTGGTCAGATCTGGGATGGGGTTTGTATATTTTTATTCCATTCCTCCCTAAAAACGGGCGAGGGGTGCTTATAGGGCGTTAATCACAGCAAATATGGTATTGGATTACTGATTTGTATTTACTGTTTGATATATTGAATCTTTTATCACATTGACTTTTCTTTCTTTGCAAGACTAGAGCACATATTTTAACATGTGAAAAACATGAATTTGATAATAGTCCAGCATATCAGGAGAAATAAGCCACATACTTACTATTTAACACCTAGGCTTCCCTTACACTTGTTATTCAAAACGGTCTATCACTTAGGAATTCTCTTTGGTCATCTCAGTTCTCACAAAAACTTTTACAGATATCTACCGCGGTACACTGTGAAAACATATCTGGGTCCAAATTGTTGCATTCTATTACTTTATATTTTTACTTTAAAGAGTTACAAGTTACATCATTTTCACTGACCAAATATTGCTTAAAAAATTATATTTTATTATTAACTCCTCATTAAATATGTTCTTCTTAATGATGAATTCTGTCCAAGCTTAACAACAGCATGTTAATTGTTATGAGGTGAATGTGGTAGATCTGCTATTGGAGTTCACCATTTCCCAGATAAACAAAGACATCTGACAATATTCATATATATCGGCTCGTACTCGAGTATATTTTTTACCGAAAATTGGAGTAACTGGTGTATATTTATATAAAAACATATCTGAAGACCCTCCTTGCATTATGTAATAATAGACATTTTTTTTATATATTTGACAAGACATTCATGTTTTTAGGAATTGACTACTTAAGTTAAACTTTCGTTTCATATCGTTCACCGGCACTGCCTGGTCATTTTCGATCAGTCTTTACTTTGAAAGGTGGATCAAACCATGCCTACAGCATACGGACCGAACATTTCATTTGTCAATATTTTCGGGTCTATAACCATACATTTTCCAAGACTTTCTACATTATGTCACAGAAATACATTGGAGAAGTAGCTAGTTACCCTGGAGTCTGACATGCAGCAAAGTTACAGAATAACTACGGAAAATGGCGGAATACACAATGCGGCGAATACACAAGCGTTTGAAGCGACACCTAGCGGATGTAGTTTTCTCGTCAGTTTTAAACACATATGATGCTATGGAAGTGTACTTTTGTTCAGCATTGTCTTACGATATCAACATATAATTTAAATACTTACAATGTCATTATGCATCGTGCAAAAACATGAACGCGTCGGCGTTGTTAAGTTCAATATATTAAATGTAATCGCCGGGTTCCTGGCTTTTCAAGCCACGCGTTAGGTGCCTATAATTTATCGGCTAAATTCGCCTATCATATTCACCACGTCTAGTGAATAGGATATCTCATAAACAATCTAACTTGTCGTACCTTTGGTCGTCTCCTGTCAATATCGATAATTAACTTCTTAGAATGTAATCAAACGTCTTCTTTCTCAGGTAAAAACATCTTTTGTTCGCCAAAATGGCCGAACGTCGTCGATTTAGTGCGGAACAGCTAGGCCTATAGGCCTATTATCATACATATTTATTACTATGTCGTCTTTGATAAAAAATATACAATTTTCGAATATTTTACTGTGTATACTTTACTTTTAATTCTGATTTAATATTTATATCACGGAATGTTTAATAACAAATATTCACTTCGTATAATAAAATGTCTCTGTCAGAAAAAGCTTCTGTAATCATACAATCAAGTCCCCTTACATTCAAGCTTGTGTCCGGCCTAGCGAAATAGTATCAACAATGATGGCGGTCACACTGCTGATTGTGTCGCTTATTTTGAGTGTAAAATACGAACAAATACGAGCACAAACTGAATATATTCCGTATGAGATACCCGCTAGTTGTAATACAACTCAGTTTTTCGATAAATTAGATTTGAAATGTAAACTCTGTCCACAGAACACAACAGTCAGTTCGGACCGTAAGTACTTACCAGTCTGGACTTGAACTTCTAAGACTTAAGAGATAATTTTAGTCATATGTTCATTATATTTACCATATTTATGTGATTATGGTATTTGATATGTTCATATATTCATTGCATACATTACATACACGTTTCAGAATTTCTTTATATTATATATTGTTATATACATGAGTCACTAAAACTGTTATTAACATATATATATGTAGACGAAATTTGTGTTTGAAAATGTTTAAGCTGTTAATTGAAGGATAAATACTTTCAAGTTTGATCAACTGTTTCTTTTTCATGTCTTGTGTTTTTTAGAAACGATTTGTTGATACAGTATTGACATGTGTTATTTAATATGATAAAAGTGTTTGTTTGTTGTAGACATCTCGGATCACCCTGTTTTCATCATTGTTTCAACATGATTATAATTTTTCAATTTATTGCAGAATTAAACTGTGAGTGCAAAGATGGATACAAATATATAACAAACTTTGGAGGAGAGAATGTACAATGTGAAAAATGTCCACCTAATCAGGTACTAAAACTCATATTTTATTAATTCACTCAAACGCTAGCCATGTAACAACCATTGCCCATCTGTTAGTCAAAATTTAAAATGCTATACACTAAAAGTATGGTACAGCTATGTAAATACACAGATCTAAACCATATTTCGCAAATTCCTATGAAACATATTTGGTTCCTTGGAAATCAATTGTAGTTAAAGGAAGAACGTAACTTGATCCCCTGGTGGCAGCTGCTGGCCATCATGCATGGAAATAAATGTGTGGGTGTTTGAAGTATTTGAAAGCCTGCAGCACCTCCTAAATATTTGATAATATTTCAACCAAATTTACTCTAAAGCTTTCCCTGGATGCTGAGATCCAGCTGCTGGAACCAAAATTGGGAAATATTTGTATTCATGTACATGAATAATTAATTTGCCATATAATATACAGGCCTTCTGAGTCTATTGTTTTTCTAGGCATTCAGCGTGTGGAATTTTTATGGCTGAAAAATTGTGGGGAAAAATTAGTTTTGTGCACACATTTTAAAACTGGGAAACCCAATGCCCAGGTATAAACTGTAGATTAAATGCTGTCTTTGTTGATCCAGGCAAGATCCCAGGATGGCTGGAGGTGTGTCAGTTGTCCAACAGATGCTGTGTTTGATTCATCTACTTCAAGGTGTAATGCCTGTCCTGACCTGCCAGGTATGTACTATGATAGCGTAATGGTCAATCGATCACACTTGAATTTAGGATAAAATGTTACTTCCTTTTGAGCAGAAGTTTCTCTGGTCATAATTCCAATACGTGCCAGATGAATATTATGAGACTCCTTCATGCCCAGGGGTGTGGGATAGGGAAATTCCACCCCGAGGGATTTTCAAATTTGACAAAATCCTTTGTTTTTGCCGAAGTTTTTGCCAAATTTGAAAATCTTGAGGGTGGAATGTACTTGTCCTACATCCTTGGGCATGTAAGAGTATTTTGTCTCTCATTCCAACCACCGGAATAGGCCCGGAAACCATGAAAATGCGTTTGGACTAGCCACCATTTTAGAAATATCAATTTTTCCCCTGAGCTTTTTAGACGAAAAAGGAATCAGCCAGCCAGATTAACCATATCCCATATTCACAAATAATGTTTGCACAGAAAAATTAATCACATCTTTCTAACGTGTACGGTAAATATATATATCATAAAAGGTTTAATTTCATCACGTCGCCTTTTCCGCATTGTGGCATCGGAGAGTTTCAAATTTGTGACGTCGCATCATTGTTTAGCCATTGTGACGCACTTCACGTGAAATGTGGTGTATGCTAGAAATTTCCTACACCCCTTTTTTACCCTGGCCAGCTCTATCTTACACACAGGGAAATGAGAGAAAAATATATATGTGTATATGTATTACTGCTTTAATTTATATAAATTGTATTTATTCGTCCGACACTATTCTAATAGAGAAGAAATTTTCATCACAATATTAAAACCAAGTCTCAACAGGCCAAAATCGTTGCACTAGTTTGTCCACCAATCTTTTGTTGTGAGGAAAACCTATTGGGAATGGAGCTGAAATTGAGCCCCAAATTGGACAAAAATCTACCACTTGTCAATAATCAACATGTATTTTATTACCAATCAGTTAAGAGAAACTTATGATTGATAGAAAAATTCAACTACTTCTACTACTCAGTCAGTTCTAGTACATTTCTGTCCTGTCTTTTGGGTGGTAATGTTGCACTTGCATATTTTAGTGGAGCGTGAAATCAACGGTGCAATTGTCGCAGCTGGGCACGTTTGCAGGACATGTACCGACTTGACCTTCCGTGTTGGCAACAGGTACAGTGTGCTGATGACTTGAAAGTGTTGATAACAAGGTTAACTCAAAAGTATTGACAACTCAGAAGTATTAATGACAACTAAAAAGTATATATGACAACTCAGGAGTATTGATGACAACGAAAAAGTATTTATGATAGCTAAAAGGTATTGATGACAACTTGAGAGTATTAATGGCAACTAAAAAGTGTGTATGACAACTAAAAAGTATGTATGACAACTAAAAAGTATTCATGAAACTCAGAAGTATTGATGACAACTAAAAAGTATTGATGACAACTAAAAAGTTTTGATGACAACTCAAAAGTATTGATAACAACTCAAAAAAGTATTGATAACAACGTGAACTAAAAAGTATTGATGATAACTCAAAAATATTGATGACAACTGGAAAGAATTGACGACATCTCAACTGTATAAATGGCAACTTAGCAAATACAGATTACAATTAGATATTATTGATGTCATCCAAATGAGGTCAAAGACCACAAATTGTAACAAACTAATTTTGATGATCAAAATTTTATACAAAATAACTTTAAATTCACATTCTACAGGAACTCAGTGTTAAGTTTAACAGGTATGTTACAGTATTATTACGAACAGTGCGTACAGGTAATGGTTTTACAGGAGGCACGGTAGTCTAGTGGTAGGACGCCGGGCTCATGACCCAAGGGTTAGGAGTTCGAGTCATGTCACAGCACTGTGTTGTATCTTTGAACAAGATACTTTACTCTTCCAGTCTACTCAGCTGTACGTGGTTGGGCAGTGCTAGAATTGTTGAATGGTAGTTGTGAGCGCCGAAATGGCAGCACCGGCTGTATGCTCCCCAGGGAGTTGAAAAAGATATTGGCTGGTTGCAAAGGCCCTACAACCACGGATGATAATTTGTTAACCGCTTTGAGACAACCTATAAACTAGGTTGTGATCAAGCGGTATATAAAAACCTTAAATTATTGTTATTATTATTATAATTTTTGTGGCTGTATTACTGAAGTTGGTGGTAATACATATTTCATTGAGAGAAAAAAACTAAAAACATCTGCCGAGCCACATTTTGAATTGTGTGTTGTAGATGTGAGCGTTGTACAGCCTACCTGTCACTTGACTCCACTCTGACAGATTGTCAGTGTCCCATAGCTAATCAGGTGAGAAAAACATTTCTTTCCAGCATCAGAGTCTCATCATAATCAAAGTTTTATCAAAGTAAAGTTTTATCATTGAGCACTTGGTACACTTTTTTTGCTTTAAATAGTTAGCATTTTAATAAAAAAAAATATGAGGATTCAATAATGATTTGAGAAATGTCAGAGGCATTCAGTTTTTAGCAGATATAATATAGTGATATTGATATCAGATTCATACAAATTTTCTGTTTTATTCCTCAATGAAAGTAAGAACATTCCTATCCAATATATTTTTGAGAAACTTTTTGAAATATCAAGAGAGTACAATATATCATTAGAGTACTTGCTGCAGACAGTTTTAGAAATAAATCTGGTCTGGACATTTGGCTAGTGGAATTGTTTGTCCCGTATTTGAAATGGTCTTTCCAAATGTTCCATACTGAGATATATATATGTAAAATAGTTTCATTTGGTTATAATTTGGATTTAGTTTATTTAATAACGAAACTTTTAATATGTACAAAAGCATTGAGTCATTGATACCAATCAGGTAAATCTGATGTGTAAAGGGAGGTAATTAACACAAAACATAGTGTATTGTACAAGGTAGCATACAGCCTTAAGTCATGTTGATTGTCAGCCCTACAGCTGTTTTCATGATGGTTGTCCTTAAATGACCACAGCTGTTGATAGGACGTTAAACAATACTAAATTAAACCAATCATGCTCTCTGGACATACGTTTGAGGACAAAAATAAAACTAGAAGCTACATCCTCTCAACCTCTGATCTGTATGATATGCGGGGTTAGAAAATATTTATCATTATTTTAGAAATATTATAATACAGGGTTAATGTATGTATGTTGTTTCAATGTTGTATGAGATATGTTATCATTTACAGAAAGGAGGGCTGTGCTTTGCCTCCACTGCCACTCCTGATTTCAATGTACCCCTATCAGTAAGTATAACTGTACAAATCAACCCCATGTATTGAAAAGAATAAATTATTCATCCAAAGCTATATTGTTTCCCTAAGTGTGAATTCTCCATTTCAATGTTACCCACTACCCTGCCTTGTTCATCCAGCTACATGTACCAGTATTCTGTTTGTCCCACTATCCAGCCAACAGTCTGGTTGTCCCACTGTCCAGCCACCAGTCTAGTTGTCCCAATGTCCAGCCACCAGTCTGGTTGTCCCAATGTCCAGCCACCAGTCTGGTTGTCCAAATGTCCAGCCACTTGTCTGGTTGTCCCAATGTCCAGCCACCAGTCTGGTTGTCCCACTGTCCAGCCACCAGTCTGGTTCTCCCACTGTCCAGCCACCAGCCTGTTTGTTCCAGTGTCCTGTCACCAGCCTGGTTGTCCCACTATAGCTATCCAGCCACCAGTCTGGTTCTCCCACTGTTCAGCCAACAGCCTGGTTGTCCCACTATCCAGCCTGTTTGTTCCAGTGTCCAGTTACCAGCCTGGGTGTCCCACTATCCAGCCACCAGTCTGGTTGCCCCACTATCCAGCCACCAGTATGGTTGTCCCAGTGTCCAGCCACCAGTCTGGTTGTCCCACTGTCCAACCACCAGTCTGGGTGTCCCACTGTCCAGCCACCAGTCTGGTTCTCCTACTGTTCAGCCACCAGCCTGGTTGTCCCACTCTCCAGCCACCAGTCTGGTTGTCCCAGTGTCCAGCCACCAGCTTGGTTGTCCCACTGTCCAGCCACTAGTCTGGGTGTCCCACTGTCCAGCAACCAGCCTGGTGTCCCACTATTCAGCCACCAGCCTGGACGTCCCACTATTCAGCAACCAGCCTTTTTGTCCCACTGTCCAGCCACCAGTCTGGTTCCCCCATTGTCCAGCCACCAGTCTAGTTGTCCCACTGTCCAGCCACCAGTCTGGTTCCCCCATTATCCAGCCACCAGTCTAGTTGTCCCACTGTCCAGCCACCAATCTGGTTGTCCCAATGTCCAGCCACCAGTCTGGTTGTCCCAATGTCCAGCCACCTGTCTGGTTGTCCCAATGTCCAGCCACCAGTCTGGTTGTCCCAATGTCCAGGCACCAGCCTGTTTGTCCCACTGTCCAGCCACCAGTATGGTTGTCCCATTGTCCAGCCACCAGTCTGGTTGTCCCACTGTCCAGCCACCAGTCTGGTTCCCCCATTATCCAGCCACCAGTCTAGTTGTCCCACTGTCCAGCCACCAATCTGGTTGTCCCAATGTCCAGCCACCAGTCTGGTTGTCCCAATGTCCAGCCACCTGTCTGGTTGTCCCAATGTCCAGCCACCAGTCTGGTTGTCCCAATGTCCAGGCACCAGCCTGTTTGTCCCACTGTCCAGCCACCAGTATGGTTGTCCCATTGTCCAGCCACCAGTCTGGTTGTCCCACTGTCCAGCCACCAGTCTGGTTCCCCCATTGTCCAGCCACCAGTCTAGTTGTCCCACTGTCCAGCCACCAATCTGGTTGTCCCAATGTCCAGCCACCAGTCTGGTTGTCCAAATGTCCAGCCACCTGTCTGGTTGTCCCAATGTCCAGCCACCAGTCTGGTTGTCCCAATGTCCAGGCACCAGTCTGTTTGTCCCAATGTCCAGCCACCAGTCTAGTTATCCCACTGTCCAGCCACCAGTCTGGTTGTCCCACTTTCCAGCCACCAGTCTTGTTCTCCCACTGTTCAGCCACCAGCCTGGTTGTCCCACTATCCAGCCACCAGCCTGTTTGTTCCAGTGTCCTGTCACCAGCCTGGTTGTCCCACTATTCAGCCACCAGTCTGGTTGTCCCTGTGTCCAGCCACCAGTCTGGTTGTCCCAATGTCCAGCCACCAGCCTGTTTGTTCCAGTGTCCTGTCACCAGCCTGGTTGTCCCACTATAGCTATCCAGCCACCAGTCTGGTTGTCCCACTATCCAGCCACCAGTCTGGTTGTCCCACTATCCAGCCACCAGTCTGGTTGTCCCAGTGTCCAGCCACCAGTCTGGTTGTCCCACTGTCCAACCACAAGTCTGGGTGTCCCACTGTCCAGCCACCAGTCTGGTTCTCCTACTGTTCAGCCACCAGCCTGGTTGTCCCACTCTCCAGCCACCAGTCTGGTTGTCCCAGTGTCCAGCCACCAGCTTGGTTGTCCCACTGTCCAGCCACTAGTCTGGGTGTCCCACTGTCCAGCAACCAGCTGGTTGTCCCACTATTCAGCCACCAGCCTGGACGTCCCACTATTCAGCAACCAGCCTTTTTGTCCCACTGTCCAGCCACCAGTCTGGTTCCCCCATTGTCCAGCCACCAGTCTAGTTGTCCCACTGTCCAGCCACCAGTCTGGTTCCCCCATTATCCAGCCACCAGTCTAGTTGTCCCACTGTCCAGCCACCAATCTGGTTGTCCCAATGTCCAGCCACCAGTCTGGTTGTCCCAATGTCCAGCCACCTGTCTGGTTGTCCCAATGTCCAGCCACCAGTCTGGTTGTCCCAATGTCCAGGCACCAGCCTGTTTGTCCCACTGTCCAGCCACCAGTATGGTTGTCCCATTGTCCAGCCACCAGTCTGGTTGTCCCACTGTCCAGCCACCAGTCTGGTTCCCCCATTATCCAGCCACCAGTCTAGTTGTCCCACTGTCCAGCCACCAATCTGGTTGTCCCAATGTCCAGCCACCAGTCTGGTTGTCCCAATGTCCAGCCACCTGTCTGGTTGTCCCAATGTCCAGCCACCAGTCTGGTTGTCCCAATGTCCAGGCACCAGCCTGTTTGTCCCACTGTCCAGCCACCAGTATGGTTGTCCCATTGTCCAGCCACCAGTCTGGTTGTCCCACTGTCCAGCCACCAGTCTGGTTCCCCCATTGTCCAGCCACCAGTCTAGTTGTCCCACTGTCCAGCCACCAATCTGGTTGTCCCAATGTCCAGCCACCAGTCTGGTTGTCCAAATGTCCAGCCACCTGTCTGGTTGTCCCAATGTCCAGCCACCAGTCTGGTTGTCCCAATGTCCAGGCACCAGTCTGTTTGTCCCAATGTCCAGCCACCAGTCTAGTTATCCCACTGTCCAGCCACCAGTCTGGTTGTCCCACTTTCCAGCCACCAGTCTTGTTCTCCCACTGTTCAGCCACCAGCCTGGTTGTCCCACTATCCAGCCACCAGCCTGTTTGTTCCAGTGTCCTGTCACCAGCCTGGTTGTCCCACTATTCAGCCACCAGTCTGGTTGTCCCTGTGTCCAGCCACCAGTCTGGTTGTCCCAATGTCCAGCCACCAGCCTGTTTGTTCCAGTGTCCTGTCACCAGCCTGGTTGTCCCACTATTCAGCCACCAGTCTGGTTGTCCCACTGTCCAACCACCAGTCTGGGTGTCCCACTGTCCAGCCACCAGTCTGGTTGTCCCAGTGTCCAGCCACCAGTCTGGTTGTCCCACTGTCCAACCACAAGTCTGGGTGTCCCACTGTCCAGCCACCAGTCTGGTTCTCCCACTGTTCAGCCACCAGCCTGGCTGTCCCACTCTCCAGCCACCAGTCTGGTTGTCCCACTTTCCAGCCACCAGTCTGGTTCTCCCACTGTTCAACCACCAGCCTGGTTGTCCCACTCTCCAGCCACCAGTCTGGTTGTCCCACTTTCCAGCCACCAGTCTTGTTCTCCCACTGTTCAGCCACCAGCCTGGCTGTCCCACTCTCCAGCCACCAGTCTGGTTGTCCCAGTGTCCAGCCCCCAGTCTGGTTGTCCCACTGTCCACCCACAAGTCTGGGTGTCCCACTGTCCAGCCACCAGTCTGGTTCCCCCACTGTCCAGCCACCAGTCTAGTTGTCCCAATGTCCAGCCACCAGTCTGGTTCCCCCATTATCCAGCCACCAGACTAGTTGTCCCACTGTCCAGCCACCAATCTGGTTGTCCCAATATCCAGCCACCAGTCTGGTTGTCCCAATGTCCAGGCCCCAGCCTGTTTGTCCCACTGTCCAGCCACCAGTCTGGTTCCCCCATTGTCCAGCCACCAGTCTGGTTGTCCCAATGTCCAGGCACCAGTCTGTTTGTCCCAATGTCCAGCCACCAGTCTAGTTGTCCCAATGTCCAGGCACCAGTCTGGTTGTCCCAATGTCCAGCCACCTGTCTGGTTGTCCCAATGTCCAGCCACCAGTCTAGTTGTCCCAATGTCCAGGCACCAGTCTGTTGGTCCCAATGTCCAGCCACCAGTCTAATTATCCCACTGTCCAGCCACCAGTCTGGTTGTCCCACTTTCCAGCCACCAGTCTGGTTCTCCCACTGTTCAGCCACAAGCCTGGTTGTCCCACTATCCAGCCACCAGCCTGTTTGTTCCAGTGTCCTGTCACCAGCCTGGTTGTCCCACTATCCAGCCACCAGCCTGGTTGTCCCACTATTCAGCCACCCGTCTGGTTGTCCCAGTGTCCAGCCACCAGTCTGGTTGTCCCAATGTCCAGCCACTAGTATTGGTGTCCCACTGTCTAGCCACCAATCTGGTTGTCCCAATGTCCAGCCACCAGTCTGGTTGTCCCAATGTCCAGCCACCAGTCTGATTGTCCCACTGTCCAGCCACCAGTCTGGTTCTCCCACTGTCCAGCCACTAGTCTAGTTTCCCACTGTCCAGCCACCAATCTGGTTGTCACAATGTCCAGCCACCAGTCTGGTTGTCCCAATGTCCAGCCACCAGTCTGGTTGTCCCACTGTCCAGCCACCAGTCTGGTTGTCCCACTGTCCAGCCACCTATACTCTAGTTGTCCCACTATCAAGCCACCAGCCTGTTTGTCCCACTGTCAACCCACCAGCCTGGTTATCCCACTATCCAGCCACCATTTTGGGTGTCCCACTATCCAGCCACCAGCCTGGTTGTCCTTCTGTCAAGCCACCAGCCTGGTTATCCCACTATCCAGTCACCTATACTCTAGTTGTCCCACCTTCCAGCCACCTATACTCTAGTTGTCCCACTATCCAGCCACCTTTACTCTAGTTGTCCCCCTATCCAGCCACCAGCCTGTTTGTCCTACTGTCAAGCCACCAGCCTGGTTATCCCACTATCCAGCAACCAGCCTGGTTGTCCCACTATCCAGCCAACAGTCTGGTTGTCCCACTATCCAGCCACCTATACTCTAGTTGTCCCACTATCCAGCAACCAGCAGGCACCAGCCTGTTTGTCCTGCTGTCAAGCCTCCAGCCTGGTTATCCCAGTATCCAGCAACCAGCAGGCACCAGCCTGTTTGTCCTACTGCCAAGCCCCCAGCCTGGTTATCCCATTAGCCAGCAACCAGCCTGGTTGTTCCACTATTCAGCCACCAGCCTGGACGTCCCACTATTCAGCAACCAGCCTGTTTATCCCACTGTCCAGCCACCAGTCTGGTTGTCCCATTGTCCAGCCACCAGTCTGGTTGTCCCACTGTCCAGCCACCAGTCTGGTTTTCCTACTGTCCAGCCACCAGTCTAGTTGTCCCACTGTCCATCCACCAATCTGGTTGTCCCAATGTCCAGCCACCAGTCTGGTTGTCCCAATGTCCAGCCACCAGTCTGGTTGTTCCACTGTCTAGCTACCAGTCTGGGTGTTCCACTGTCAATCCACCAGCCTGGTTGTCCCACTATCAAGCCACCAGCCTGTTTGTCCCACTGTCAAGCCACCAGCCTGTTTGTCCTACTGTCAAGCCACCAGCCTGGTTATCCCACTATCCAGCCACCAGCCTGGTTGTCCCACTATCCAGCCAACAGTCTAGTTGTCCCACTATCCAGCCACCTATATTCTAGTTGTCCCACTATCCAGCCACCTATACTCTAGTTGTCCCACTATCCTGCCACCGTTACATTTCAAAAACAAAAATACAGATGAACCAATCAGTGGACAGGTTTTTAAATGTATTGTAACTGCAAAAAACAGCACCACGAATGTATGATGTTATACCATCTATGTATGTGATACTGGTTAGTGCTAACTGCATAGTTGGTGTCTGTAGAACATTTACTTATGTAGGTAGATATACAGGTGTCCTATCGTGGTTTTGGTGTGTCAACAAGTTCTAAAGTATTTTGTTTCGTTTTGTTGAATAGAGTGGTGATGTGGCATCAATGTACTTGACTGACAACTTGGAGGCCGCCTACACTATGTGTCGGGTATGGTATATTATAACTCAAACAACGGACAATACAATACATACAATTACGTCACACACATATACAGTACACTTTATAACAACCAGTCCTGGTCAGACAATACAGTGCATACAATTACGTCACACATATATACAGTACACTTTATTACAATTACGTCACACATATATACAGTACACTTTATTACAACCAGTCCTGGTCAGACATGGAGTTGGAATTAGAAATAACTACCAGGTATATTTAGAACAATTGGAGAAATATCTTTAATAAGTCACAACTGTTCTGTATATCTTCTATACAGTTATTGACTTTTAGAGAGGTGCATACAAGGAATTATTACCCGAGAAGGACTATTTTCACTATGATCAGATATAATGTTAAATGTTACCTTTTAAAGAATTATGATTCAACACAATTACAAAGAAACCTGTCTAATCTGACATCCTTCTGGACAAAATGTTGCTCAGATCTGGGATCTTAGATGAGATTTATGAAGTAACTCTTTCTTTTCAGTTTATTAAGGTTCTGCTGAGCAAAAACGGTTTGGCAACAAATTTCATTTTCATGTGAAATGGAAAGAATTCAAGGCAATTCTGTTACATAACCAGAATGCCTACACATACATGTAGTTTGCAAAAAGCATGTTTTCTCCTACTTTTGTCACTTCTCTAACATGGCCATCTTCTTTCATGTTGATTGTCTTTAATATGACATCACAGTGATGGAGTTCGCACATTGACTATTAAAAATTGGAATCTACTACCCCAATTGACTAGTGGTATTCAAAATTAATTTCTACCCCTGTATTATTGATGATGTATAATCTAGACTCTTGAACTTTATCAAGGGAACATTCATCTAAAAAAATAATAGAACTCTCCACACCTGAATTTCGACGGGCATTTAACAAAAGGGCATAGCTTCATAAATAAGGGAGGTAACTCAAATTTCTATACTTCACTCACATCCTATCAATGAAAGTGTTACATGTAACAATTATCATTCAAAACATAAGGGGAGGTAACACCAATGTGTTTTATTTTATTGACATTCCCTCGGTCTCAGTGTAGGAGTTCTGTGTACTAAGAGCCATTCAAATTGGTGTAGTACTTTGGAAGGAGTGGTGTGAATATGTTTTGGTTGGAATGTTTTTATACTAAGAATAACTCCCATTACAAATAGCTGGATCATTAATTAAACATTGATTTAATAGCTGGATCTGGAGTAAGACAGAAAAATCTCAACCCTCGTGGTCAGATTCTTAAAAGTCTGGCCTCGGCAACTCTTCAGGCTAGACATTGAAGAATCTCCCCTTGAGGGTTGAGATTTTTCTGTCTTACTCCTTAAAGTGGGGAGTGATTATATTTCTCCTTAATCAAATACAAGGCATACTTCCATGAAATACTAATGTTGATTTCATAATTTCCAGCGAATTGGAGATATCTTCCGTGATCTGCTATTGTTGATGTGACGTCATTGCATTGTGACATGACATCATACAAATGTTATGACAGGGGCCGGAATCCCCCCATCTTTACTCTAGGGTAAGACAGAGATATCTTTCCCTAACCAGAAATGTGGATATCTCAGTCCAATGGGGAGAGCCTAGTATAATAAGAAGTGTATGTATAAGGTGTTCTATGATATTACTCTTTACTTCTAATTACCTGTAACTTCCTAGCGCCTTGCTTGGCAACACCTCACCTTTAGCTTTAATGTTAAATGTTCACCCAGGTAAGGAAGGCAATGGGTTCTTTCCCAAGGCCAGGACATACCAAAGTCCTTAAAAATGGAGTTGTTATTCTCTGCTTAACATTCAACATGTTGCGTAATGACAACAACTGGTTCACCCGTTGTCAGTATAATGTGACCGGGCGCAATGCTGTGCTGGGTACCTTCGGCATGTTATTTCAGTGAGATACTGGCACTGTGAAATTGGCATCAGATCCGCACTTGTCACAAGGAGGCAAATACACCAATATACAATATGTCTCTGGCACACATACACACATGCATGCTTACACTACAGACATGGATGCACATCCTTAAACGACCTTAGCTGTTAATAGGATGTTAAACAAAATAAAACTAAAACCACTCATTACTGTTTAAGATAAGGTGTTTGACTGGTGTCAATTGATGGTTTTCAGATAAGACAGAATTCGACAGCGTGCATCATCCTGAGTAACCTGTGTGTACTCACCTGGTACGAGTTTGACGGTACCAATGCCAATCGAGCGTGTAACATGTACAAGGAGATCGAGGCTGCCACGTACGTATCAGTTACATCCAACATATTATTTAAACCTAGAACCTTTGTATAGATTTTGTGATCTCAGAGAATGTCAAGATTTCCTGTTGTACAGAAACATTTACATCTTCTGACAGATGGATTTTGCAAAACAACACTAGATAAACGTTTTTGTCGAATCGCGATTTGCTTACTAGGCAACTTTGAAGGTTAAAGATCCCTACAAACAAGAACTCTGAATTGTTGTAGAAATGATATTTTATTGGACTGTAATTTGATTGTTCACATTTTTATTTTTATTTGCATGTGAAAATGTGGGGGAAAAAGATACTTCTAATTCACAGTTGTTGATTCTGATTGGTTGTTGATTCTGATTGGTCGTTGATTATGATCTGATGTTGATTCTGATTGGTTGTTGATTCTGATTGGTCGTTGATTCTGATTGGTCGTTGATTCTGATTGGTTGTTGATTCTAATCTGATGTTGATTCTGATTGGTTGATGATTAGGCCTGAGAGTTTGCCCATGCTGTACTATGAGGAAGGGAACGGAGACAGAATACTGGAGGACACCTCACAGACGACTGTCTACACATTCAACCCTGTGTCCTACCTCAACTTCCAGGTGGCTCGCTACAGTATCGATGGCAAGTTCCTTGGCATATCACCCGTCACCAATGGTCTTCTACAGCTGTGTACAGACACAACGAAAAAACTGGACGCAGCCTACACCTTCGGAACTTATTACTCACAGTCGGTAGGTTTTAAGTTAGGGATGTTCCAAAATTAACCGTAGGGGAGGGGTGAGAGGCATTCCTTCCGAGACCCCATCACCCACACATTTTTTAAAGTGATTTATGTATATAATAAATGGTAGGTAGGCAGATATCGTTTTAACCCCACCCCCCACCCCCTATCCATAATATAATAATACAGGTGTCTCCCACCTTCCCAATATTATATGCAATTATGGAATAGCCCTTACACACTCTTTGTATCTACAATAGGTTTCCAAGGTTGCAAAATTAATAAATTCTTTATTAAAATTTGTCTGGAATGTATTTATGGCACTTATGCCAACAAAAATGGCTGCAACATACTTGGATGGAATCAGTGACTTGTGGCCTACAGGAAATCGATCTGTAACCAACCCCAGGTTTTTTTCCTTCTTTCAATTTTTTTTATTCAAACAGGCCACTTGAAACTGTTACAGTAAAATAGGCATCCCTACTCTACAGCTACTTGCAAAACACTGCTTTATCATAAGGTTTGTTTAGTAGGATACTACATGTAGTATAGAGTATGTATTACATCTGCTGACAATGCTGACTCTGGGATATATTTTATACTACTCCTAGATAGAAGATTAAACTCATTTCACCCCTGAAATTTCATAATGAACTATTCCAACCTTTGAATTGGAAGAGTTCAAATGTGTCTTCAAGGGTGAATGAGTTAATTCAATTGCAGTTTAGTTAATACAGTCGAACCTCGTTATCTCGAACTCGTATAACTCGAAGACCCCGTTGAACTCGAAGTATTTCATCGGGGTCCCGGCCAAAACTCTTCTTAATCTTAGTAATAAAAACTCTGATAATTCGAACTCGAAAAACTCGAAAAACTCGGATATCCCGAAGTGAAACATAGGTCCCAACAACGTAAATCCTACATAAAAATATCTCCTACCTCGAAGTTTCTTAAGATTCACAAGTCTATCATGTATTCTTTAATTATTTGATTCATATTAGACGCAGTGCTACGGTAAACATCGTTCTAAATGAGCAGCCTACGCTCGGTCATAATTAATTCTATTTAACTTATGGCATTAAAATGTGCTTGACTGTAAATACACTTTGTTCAAATAAAGAAACAAATTTCATCAATGTTGATTAACAACAATTAGTACTCACTGCGAGCCCATAAACAATTTGAATGGCACTTTATTTACACCAAAGCTGCCGACACATTCTAACCGGAAAATGGGTCAAAGTGTGCGGTCATGCGTAAATAAGCTCAACAGTAAAAATCACAACGTCGTGTTGAGGAAATGTCAAGTGTCATTGGAGTCTATCAATGTGAAAATGTTTCTTGATTAACTCATACCCATTTGTGGAATGTCGAAATCAACTGAGCAATCCAACGTGTACGCTCCAGTACAGTGATTTGTGTAAAGACTTGCGCACTTTCATTTCCGCATTGAGATTTCTATCAGCATAGCACGAGGTCGGAGACAGCATGTGTCTTTTATTGTAATATTAATTAATTAATAAGATTATGAATAAGTTGTTATTTTTTATTTTATATAGTTATCTTTTTGTCATTTATCCGACTGTTTAAATACGTTGATTGTCAGAGAAATCAACGACATATATAGCCTCATATTGTTAGCAAGCTTTATGCCAAACATAGGAACTCGCTTAACTCGAATACTCGGATAACTCGAAGTTTCCCAACGATCCCGTCGACTTCGAGATAACGAGGTTCGACTGTAGTTAATTATGAGCTTATAACTATCACACGTAGTTAATATTAATTCAACAAGCTAACACTGAGATGTATGGGCTGTAATTTTCCCTGTGTACTTACAGTGTTCTATTCCGGCGATTGACCTGTGGGACCAGACTAAGTACCCGATGGAGTTCTACGACATGTGTATCCTTCAGTAGACCGCTCACTCCAACTCGACAAGAGGATTTACACCAGGGTTGGGATGAAGCCTGAGTTTCCTCTGGCCCTGACACCAGACTTAGACATATTGACAGATACTGTATAGCGCTTTAAATTTGCAGGGTTAATATTTTGCGGTTTCGTATTCAGTACATATCCGCACCCAAATCCCATGTGTCGTGCAAAGTATTATGAGAGTCATCATTTAGGGGTTTAACCTTGGAATACAGGTAAACCGTTTGAAAACACTAATCCCAACAGTCTCCATTTGCACGTGACTTCACTCGAGAGAAATCAAATGTGTATGTACCTTTGTAGGAGTAAACTGTAATCAATTAATCACCTACTGTGTACACATTAATATGTTGTGGCCACTTATATGTAAGTGTTGTTTTAACATGGACTGTCCAGTTGTTCAGTGATAATCTGATTTGATTTATTTAAGCTTGCATAACAGCATTGGGTTGTAAGTATTTTCAACATGTTGTGATAAGGTCCGTAAAATTGGTTAACATTTTCGCTGTTTCGCTGGTGTTTAGAATTCACGGATATAAGTCAAAGCGTGAATGTAGCGAAATTAAAACCCCTGCAAAATATAACTGCTATACAGTAGATGTCTAGTCTGGTGTGGGGCCAGAGCGCACTACTTTATGAAAACGTGGAATTCTCCAACACCGTTTGGTATCGGAGCGTTTTAGGGCCAGAGGAAACGTGGGCTAGGTTGGGATGTTACCATTAGTGTTGTCAAGTAGTTTTGGCTCAAATCTCGCCACACTGGGTTTAAACTTGGTCAAAATGCTGTAGAACAACTGGAACTATTATAGCTACCTTGTATATATGAATTAAGCATTAATATTGACTAAAATTTACCCTAACTTCATTTTTATAAAAAGAAAAAAATCTGATGAAAAAAAAATGTCCCAATGAGGTGGGGCTTACTCTGCCCTGGTTAAGGGTTTCCAGTTTAGGTAGTTTTTTCCACCACATGGGCACATGTCACAATGTCTCCTGACAATGAGTTAAGTAATATCAATGATAGTTAGTAATCAGCTGGAGTGTGTTCACAAATTATGATGTGTGTGAATTGTAATCCAACATGTTAGAATCCTTGACCAATATTTAGATCTTAAATTCACCAAGACTGGCGCCGAACAGATGTATAAAACTCCGCTGAGGATATTGAACTACGTCAGCAGTGGTAGCACCGTCAACACAGGTAAGACTCCGGTGTCGCTCGGACATATTATTGTAGTCACCTTGGTGGCCATCTTGAATTTCTCAAAATCTAGACGATACAAGGATGGTATCATACAGTGCTTTAACCAGTAGGATAGGGCCATTAGTATGAATGTGAATAAGAGTAGTTATTATATACAGATTATACTTTTGGGTTCAGGCTTAAGCCAGGTAATATAACTTTGAGACTGAGTTCGCTTCTAAGAGACAAGGTTCTGATATGTAGAAATGAATTAGAATAAGGCTTTTTCAGTTTTTCCGGTATTAGTTGGGGAGCGTTTTTTTTGGGGGGGGGGGGGGGGATTTTCATTTATTTTGCATTGACGATTATATGTATGCATAAACAAAAACATTTAGAAATACATCATTGAGTTATACTTTTGTGATTACGCCTATTGTGAGGCAAGGTAAGGTCTTCACATCACTCCTGGTTACCCATAGTAAACAGGAGCAATGTGATGTGCTCATTTTAATCAGAAAAATTGTGACTCAGTGGAGAATTAATTGTTTGTCAAATTTTCAGAGCAACCTGCTCATTTTTTCAAGATGGTTTCAATAGAACGTACAGCAATTTACAAAATAATTTAACAAAATTACAGTTGTTTACAAAAACAGGATGAAGTCTTTTCTATGCAGGTCAAAAATCAAGACCAGATGATCATTTGTTTAGGGGAGATAACTATACACCTATATGTACAATGTGTAAGGTAGAATACATCTTAAATACTGCCAGGAGAGGAAAAATGCACGACCAGACCATGGTTCCAACCCGGGACCTTCTGAACTCTAGACAGACGCTCAACCAATTGAGCTACCTGGTCGCCGTCGATTGACCCAGTCCAGATCCGCTATAATCCTCCCTCCGTTTTTAAAAGTCTTTGCCCCTTAAGACAACACTATTTACAACCCAGGTTTGGGTGTCCTCTTGTCAAGTTTTCACCAGGTACTTGAAACAAGGGTTGGTCACAGGCACCAAATGTAAAAGGAGCGGAAAACTGCATGGCCAGACTGGGGTTTGAACCCTGGACCCTATAAACTTTAGACAGACACTAAACCAATTGAGCTACCTTGTCGCCAACGATAAACCCAGTCCAGTTTGTCTAGATGTCAAATTATGTGAATGTCGTCAATGGTCACATGTCTGTGTACCATACAAAAGAGTGTCATTGACTGAATCAAGTCAAAGTTACCATTCACAAAGAATAATATGCATATTTTGGAATTCTATTGGATAGGAGAGTTAAAAGTTTCGAAGAAGGTGACATATAGCCTTAAGAGCTAGTATACATGATTTATGTATTTCAGGATCCGACGCTCAGGACTGGCAGCTGGTGAGGCGATTCTTCATGGTGGACAACGTGGCTTCAGGACCAGGTAACGATTTAACGTAAACCGTATAACATCAGCTGTGTACTGAGATGTCAGAGGATTGCGATGATGACATCAGGGTTTGGTGCAGTCAGTGATCAGCTGTATAGATGATAAAATATTTACGGTAGGGGTGTCACAATACGCCAGGAGGGTATCACGATATATTGCAATACAGAATGAACATATTGCGATACGTGTCCCGATACATTGTCAAATGAAGGATGTGCTCAATTTTATATTAAGTTGTCAGAATGTTATCAAACTTTATCATATATAATATGGATTACATAGATTTAAGATTTTTGTTAAACCAAACTTTGATTACAAAATTTGAACTATTAAAAGCCTGCTTTATGCTTATTGGCATATCTGTTATAATTTATAATAATCTAATAATTCAAATAATCTATAATAATTTGCAAAGTTAACACACTAAGCAAATCCATAAAAATATGCTTTTGAAAAATATTACGATACAGCAATATTTCATCTCTGTATTGTGGTACGATACAATATACCTGTGTATTGTGATATACCTGTCTTCTGATATATTGTGACAGCCCTAATTTACGGTCACCGTAGATAGCACAAAATGAAATTAAGCAGCGAATACTAATACCATGAATGATGTTCTCCGTGACTATGTACGATATATTTACAGACGGAAAACGCCTGTTTACCCATTTACTGTCACACAATGATACCTAACAATTCAATATCGCATTTTACCTCATTTTCACAAAATATTTGTAAAAAGGATCCAATACTCTAAAACAAAAGCACCCTTGTGAGAGTGATAATTTAACCTAGCATGGTTTGATACCAGCGAACTAGCTCTGATAGAGACAACCACGAAATATTAGCTAAATTAAGGAACATAACAGTACATGTATATGGAAAGAGTAAGGTACCGTATTTGACCGCAAATAAGCCCCCATCCCTAGTGGAAAAAAATAGACCAAAAGTAGGGAGGGGGCTTAATTGCGAGCAACCCCCCCTGTTCACAAATGTTGGCCATCTTGGATATACCACTGTTTTGATCTATGACCACAAAAATTAACATACTTTTTTTTTGAGAGGGAGACAAAGTTAGGGATGGGGCTTAATTGCAGACACCCTCCCTGTTACCAGGACATTTGCCAAATTGGGGAGGGGGCTTATTTGCGGTCAAATACAGTATATTATGAATCTGTTGCTTGGTATATATCGAAGCCAGCTAAGTCGAGTTTACTTCATCGGGCTTTCATCGAGTTAAAAAAACATATCAAATCATTGTTTCTGGCAGCAGAACAAAAATCCTGTCAGCCACTGAAAACACTTCTTTTGCATTATAATGACATATGCATTTTTCAAACTTTTCCTGCTAGTGAATTTTATTTAAACAGTTTCAGAATTAAAAAGCTTGCCAGTTCAAAGATGTTTTTTATTCAATGAATAGCACTTTGTTTCACTGTGATCTGTTGGTAAATTAGCAGATTATTAAAAGCGTTTGGTTTCTGATAACATTTGGTTGGTTGTTTCTTGCTACATTGTTTGATGGTTGAGTGTAACCTTGTCTGTGGCAGTGTCTCCACCCGAGTATGTGCGGTATGTGAAGAGTATTGAGATAATCGTCCGACTGACTGAGACCGGGGACGGCACTATATACCCGCCGTATTTCAACATCGAGTACGATCAGGTGTCTCTGACGAGTGCCAACGAAGGCGCTACTATTTCTGTAAGTATTCTTATCACTCTTGACATCTCGGGGTAAACTCTACTTATTTGATCTGAAAAATCTGTGTGTTTAACTCATTTACCCCTGAAAACACATTTGAACTCTTCAAATTCAAAGGTTAGAATAGTTTATTATGAAATTTCAGGGGTGAATGAGTTGTGCAAATGAACCACAGGTGCTAGCCTCGTCTGTCAATACACTCACTGTGTATGAGTGTAGTTACAGACGAGACTAGTACCTGTGAATGAACTAGTTCCGATACATTTTTCATTGGTAATTACTATAATTTATTCGCTTGTCATCAATGTTTACAGCCAACCTTCACGGTCACATACTGGATGTCGCAGATCAAGTTCCGACGAGACTTCCAGATCGCGACAGGAACCCTTTCCACTCTTGGTATACTGTATGCTGGGTACAGGGCCTGGGTGTGGTCCAAACGTGCGGGCAAACTGGCAATCGACTTTGGAACAATCCTCAATTTTATGTTCTTTGCAGCAGGCTCCCTTGCGAATGTCTTCTTCGTTATCTCCTTTGGTATTGCATTTTACTTCCTCATCTTCTTCAAGGTGAGTATGGCGTATGTTAACGTCTTAAAGTGTGTACCAAGTGTTTTGTAGGATAAGTCGTTCTTCTACACATTTGTTTCCTGGATCATTTATAAATAAAAAATGATTAAAATAATCTGTTTGTGTGTTTATGAAGTTTCTCTAATAAGATTAAATGTGTTTATGAAGTTTCTCTTATAAGATTAAATTTATTGAAATACTTGGAGTTTTTAAGGATCAGATCAGATTCTTTGTAGTACTCTGTTTGTTTGTGAAGATTGTTGACAAGTTTTTATCAACTTTCGTGGATATCCTAATATTAACAAACAGTACACACGTATACCATTCAAATTTGATGTATTTATTAGCTCACCGGGTCCGAAGGACCAAGGTGAGCTTATGCCATACCGTGGCGTCCGTCGTCCGTCCGTCTGTCTGTCATCCGCCCGTCAACAATTTCTGTAAATGACTTCTTCTTCTTAACCAATGAATGGAATTTAACTAAATTTGACTAGAAGCATCCGTAGGTGGTGGGGATTCAAAATTGTACAAATGGTGGGGCTGACCCCCCAGGGTGCTGAGGGGCGGGGCAAGAAGGGGGCAATTTTGCTATATTGCTTTAAGCGCCTTCTTCTCTGGAACTAAGAGATGGATATCAACCATATTTGACTGGAAGTATCCCTAGGTGGTGGCGATTCAAAATTGTACAAACCGAACCCCTAGGGACCTAGTTTCTTAGTCACAGCTTGGAAACAGTTGAGAGCCCCACTCTATAACCATATATACAATTGCTGAATATAAAGAGATGAATGCACCTATGCTTCCAGGATGGCCTTGGGGACTGCCCCACCCTTGGAGACTTAACCCCATGGGTCATAACTTCGAAATGGTTAAGATCCCCACCCCAAAACTATATATACAAGGGTTGGGCAGAAAGAGACGAATGCAGTCATGATATTAGAATTGACCCCAGGGTCTGCCCCACCAGCCCCACCCTTGCAGACTTAACCCCAGGGCCATAACTTTAAAACTGTTAAGATCCCCACCCCAAAACTATATATACAAATGCTGGGCAAAAAGAGACAAATGCAGTCACGATATTAGAATTGATCCTGGGGTCATGCCACAACCCTAGGGACCTAGTTTCTGAGTCACAGCTTGGAAACAGTTGAGATCCCCACCCCATAACCATACATAAAATTGCTGGGTATGAAAAATCTAATACAGATATGCTACAAGGATTGGCCTGGGAGTCTGGCATATTCCCTTGGATTTCATTTGGAGAATATTTTGCCATAATTGCTTAGGTATCCAGGTGAGTGATACAGGCCCTCTGGGCCTCTTGTTTTTGTGGTTCAATAGCAACCACAAAAACATGGAATGTTTGTACACAACAAGCTTGCCATGTTATACAGTATTTGTTTCTATAAACTATTCGTGGAATCATCGTAAATATTGTCCGTTCAGGACCAGGATGTGTTGTTCCTGTTCCACCTCCGTGACTTGGCCGAGGAGGAATGGCTGGCGTTGTTTGGGGCGGCATTCACACTCAAAGCCCTTCAGATAATTCATTTGATCGTCATCCAATGCACGGCTGACGTCTTCTTCATTGACTGGGAGCGGCCCAGAGGTGGGGGACAGGTTACCGACTCCAAGAAACCCACCGGCACGGTGTCAATATGGCGCACCTACTTCATCGCCAATGAGTGGAACGAAATTCAGACAACAAGGAAGGTCAACCACATCTTTCAGATTTTTGCGGTGGTGTTTTTCCTGTATGTTGTGGGATTTGAAAATGTGGCTACAAAAGATCCTGATGGCAGCGTGATCAAGGACTCCTCCGAGTACATGGCCGATATGAGTACGATGTTCAGGTACGGCATCGCAGGTGCTGTCTATCTCATCGTAGGTAAGTAGTGACTAGTTTACTGGGTGTTGAGTAAGTGTTTATGCAAACAGTACCATGAACCCAGAATTATAATTCATCAATTTGAGATCTCCGAATCTGTTACATGGGTAATACCTATTATCCCTTAGTCATTGAAAAGAGTTTTTCTTTTGTGATTTAAATCTACTAGTGATGCATGAAATATCTTGTACTGATAACAATTCTTATGAGTAAACAAAGTCTAAGTTACCATACATAAAAGATAATTTCAGTTTACTGTAGAATGAAACTCTTTTTAAAATCTGATACATGTCCTTGTAAGGTAGGAATATGGAAGGTAGAATACTGTGTTATGCAGTGTCATAAAGCCATCACATAAATGATGTTTATGTAACATGTGTTATATCACTCCGGAAATGACGTCACAATGGAATAGGAACAACCAATGTGAAGCGGATGCAATTTTCATCGTTTCAGAGGCGGCCAAGTGCAAAGTATTCGTTTCAGATCACAACTATACAGTTTACTTTGTATTATATGATAAAAAGAATCTGTCATTCGTTTCCCTTCATATTAGATTCATGATACTCGTTTTGGACTTTTCATATTTGCTCGCCAGAGGCTCTCAAACATGAAAACTTGTATCATAAATCTAATATGAAGAGAAACGAATGATAGATCCTCTTTAAATGTAGAGTGACAATAAACTGTTGGTGGAGCCTCACCGTCGTACATGTCCTATATCTACAGGCGTGGTCCAGTGGATATTCTTTACCTTTATCTACGAGCGGTTTGTGGAGGACTCGATTCGTCAGTTTGTGGATCTGTGTTCGATGAGTAACATCAGTGTGTTTGTTATGGCCCACGCCCAGTTCGGATACTACATCCACGGGCGATCCGTCCACGGCCGTGCCGACACCAACATGAAGGAGATGTTTGAGATGATGAAGAGGGAGGAGGTTTGTCATTTCTTTATCTATCTTACAACAATTATGAAACAGGTTATTTCAACTTATATTAAACACTCTTGTTGGCCTGGATGTTAGCGCACGAGGGGTCTTATTGTGGGAGGAAACCGGAGTACCCGGAGAAAACCCTATTGGTCGGGCAGGTGACCCCATACCTTTTCACATCCATTCGGGGAATCGAACCTCAGCCGCCTTTGTGAAAGCCAAATGCGCTGTCCACTTTATTCATTCATTGTCAGTGACAAAATGGCCAATCCTTTGACACAAGATAATTATAAAACCCTTAAAATAGTCACTGATTTTAAATAAAACCCAAAAACAAATATCACTGGAAATCTATTAGAAATAACAACAATTGTATCTATATTTTATCAAAGCGTGACAACATCATAGTCTGGAGCTATTGGACCGGGACATTTTTGCCTTTTGACAGTAAAATGCATTTTTCGCCCAATATTAAATCGCCCTTCTGCTTTATATGTAAATCATGTTGCTTACTAGTGTTGCTGTAATGATCAATTTGCCCTCACTACAGAGGGCGCAATAAGCGAAAATTAAACTGAAGCGAAAATGTCAAGGTATACAGTACATATGATTTTACATCATAGCTGTCTGTAGTTCAGTAAGAAGTGTTACAGAGCATTTCAACATTAATCACTTTGACAAGTTTTGAAATAAACGTGAGCTCTATTTGAAGCTTGTAGACCTATATTAAGGATATTACAAACTTTGTCACTATTTTGGGAGCCAAGCTCCTTGAAGTTTCCTTCAGTATCAGATACTGTGAGAACTCCACACTAATTACATTGTTATACATGTACTTGCAAATAAATTCAAAAAAAATATTATTTAGGAGGCACGGTAGTTTAGTGACCGGACGCTGGGCTCGTGACTGAAGGGTTGCTGGTTCGAGTCACATCATGGCACTGTGGTGTATCTTTGAACAAGATACTTAACTCCGCTTCTTCCAGTCTACTCAGCTGTAAATGAGTATGTGGTTGGGCAGTGCTATAATTGTTGAATGCTAGCTGTTAGCTGTGAGCGCCGAAATGGCAGCACCGGCTGTGTGCTTCCAGGGAGTTGAGAAAGATATTGGCTGGATGCAAATTATTATCCGTGGTTATAGGGCCTTTGTGAACTGCTTTGAGACGACTTACAAACTAGATTGTAATAAAGCGGTATATAAGAACCTCAAATTACTAATTATATTGTAGCCATGACTCTACTGATCAATTTAACTTTGGTTTGTGTCCTTGACCCTTAATTATGACCTTGACCCTGGTGGTTTACAGGAAGACTTGTGTGGACAGAGAGGTCTGGTGCCCAACACAGACAACCAGACGTTCATGATGTCATTGCCACGTAAACTCCGCCTTAAGTACGAACAGGTCATGCTACCTGTGGCGTTAGAGGTAATATTATTACATTTTTTCTGTTCGGTAATTATTTTACTGTTTTTCCCAATTCGGCAATTGCTTAGTTCCTTGACTTTTGTGATTATGAACAAAATACACAATTGATTTTCGCAGCGTTTTCTTGACCTTAAGTGAGAAGTTCTATTGGAAATGTAAGAGACTTGTAATAAATCAATTAAAATTATGAAAGTGCTTCCTTATTATCCCCGTGCAACAAAAGTTCAAGATTCCGCCCCTTCATACGTACATAGGTGACACTCTTTGTCATCGCTCAAGCGACTTCATTCCTCAACGAACTTTTATGAAACTTCATAATTATAAGTGTTTGGTATGACAATACCTCGCACTAATTCGCATTTCGGGGTTTTACGTGGAAGGTCAAGATCACTGTTTATATTTTTAGAAAAAAAAATGTCAGTGCTCTAGCGACTTCATTCCTAAACCGAATTTCTTTTGTATTTTGCTAATGACAAACCTAGTAGAAGCGTAACTAGGTTCTTACCGATTTCATGGGAGTTAAAAGGCATTACCCAGTAACATGATAATGGATTGTACATGTGGTAATACAGGTGTAACTGTCACCACCGGACCACACAATACTGGTACGGCTGTATTCAACATTAGGTGCCTAAAATATTCAACATTTACTGGATCAAAGTTTTATCAAAACAAAACGTGTTATTTTTAGAATGCTGGTGCTGTGGGAGCGCCCAAAGGAAAGAGTTCTGCCACTGGTAAACAGGTGGAAGCTTATTCAGTGATCAACAGGTTCCTGTCGGCGTTTATCGATCACGTAAGTTTCTGGGGGTCTCTACACTCTGCACACTAGGTTAACGTCTATGAGGTGATTACATGAAAAACATTTGTGATCAGAAAACTGAGGATAGAAAGTGTTACTGGAGCTTTATGGGATTCAAGTAGAAGCAGTATATAGTTGAAGGCAGGACAGGCTAATAATGAGCAAGATCACATTTGACCGATTGTCTATTTACCATATCATGTTATTCATTGTAATGTAATGTACATGTGAAGTGAAAGTACCTGAGCAGACATCACTTACGGCAATCCCCATAATCAGAATTACAAAACTGAACACCAAACACACTGAATTTGTAAAGATAATTTCATGGAAATTAAAATATTTTAACAGACATCATTTATAGCAAACCCATAGTCATAAGCACAAAGTATTACACCAGGTGCATTGTAATAATAAATACCAGTAAAGTGAAAGTGGCTGTCAGAACAGACCACATTTATAGTAATCCCATAGAAAAAAGAGCAAGACATCACACTAAATGTATTATAATGTAATTTACATGGAAAATGAAAGTACCTGCACACAAAAATTATCATAATCCCATAGTTATAAGCACGAATCTTCACAACAAATATGATATTAGATCTTATATTGTGAGTAAAACTCACTTGAAATAATAAAAAGATCATCTGACATTGTTAACAACATGCTACCTGGCCTTACTGTGTATAACTCTGTAAATAAACCTGGTGGGGAGAGTGAAACTAGTGTCACATTATGTAATCATGTATCACGCCTAATATACTGTAAACATACTTACATTTTACAGTAACACGCTCAAATATTGCCACATTATCAATTTTAACTAATGTGTGCATTGATATATTGGCACACCCACAACATATGCAAAAAGAAAATATACATAAACTTGCCCTAAGTTTTGAATTAAGATTACAAGTCTACTTAAATATTTACGTGAACAGCATTTGTGAAAAAAATATCTTGGAGAAAATTGAAAAATTATAAAAAATAAAGCTCATTCATGAGAAAATGTTACTGTGTTGATGGGCAATTGAAACAGATTACAGATGTACAATAATAATACTAGTGTTATTATTTAGCTTTGACTGATATTTCTAGATGATTGTGTTAAACATGATGACCGTTGTTTAGAGAATTGTTGTTGTGTTTGTTTCAGTCGCTGAAGGACCTGGACTATGTGGTAAAGGATAAGACGTTACTGGAGAGCATTATGGACACAGAGTTCTTCGACGCCTCAGAGAAAGGCATTTTCTATAATGGTAATAGATCATAATAGTACTGGGTCCCTCAGAGAAAGGCATTTTCTATAATGGTAATAGATCATGATAATACTGGGTCCCTCAGAGAAAGGCATTTTCTATAATGGTAATAGATCATAATAGTACTGGGTCCCTCAGAGAAAGGCATTTTTCATAATGGTAATAGATCATGATAATACTGGGTCCCTCAGAGAAAGGCATTTTCCATAATGGTAATAGATCATAATAGTACTGGATCCCTCAGAGAAAGGCATTTTCTATATAGTGGGAATTGTTAATATTTGATGTCTCAAAAAAGGGCTTTTCTACAATCCTTCTTGATCATGTTTTGGATGTCTTTGAGAACGCTACGGCTGCAACGATACATTAACATTTTACGATACGATACGTGTCCCCATACTGTGGTCACAGAACGATACGTATCACCATACTTTGGTCACTGTACAATACGTATCACCATACTGTGGTCACAGTACAATACGTATCACCATACTTTGGTCACTGTACAATACGTATCACCATACTGTGGTCACAGTACAATACATATCACCATACTGTGGTCACAGTACGATACGTATCACCATACTTTGGTCACTGTACAATACATATCACCATACTGTGGTCACAGAACGATACGTATCACCATACTGTGGTCACAGTACAATACGTATCACCATACTGAAGTCACAGTACAAATACGTATCACCATACTTTAGTCACAGTACGATACGTATCATCATACTTTGGTCACTGTACCATACGTATCACCATACTTTGCTCACAGTACAATATGTATAACCATACTTTGGTCACTGTACCATACGTATCACCATACTTTGATCACAGTACGACACATATAACGAACTGTGGTCACAGTACGATACGTATCATCATACTTTGGTCACTGTACAATTCGTATCACCATACTGTGGGCACAGTACGACACATATCCCCATACTTTGGTCTCAGTACGATACGTATCACCATACTGGGGTCACAGTATGATATGTATCACCATACTTTGGTCTCAGTACGATACGTATCATCATACTTTGGTCACTGTACCATACGTATCACCATACTTTAGTCACAGTACAATATGTATCGCCATACTTTGGTCACAGTACAATACGTATCACCATTCTTTGGTCACTGTACAAAACATATCACCATACTTTGGTCCCTGTACAATACGTATCACGATACTGTGGTCACAGTAAGATATGTATCACCATACTTTGGTTCCAGTACGGCACATATCACCATACTGTAGTCACAGTACGTCACATATCACCATACTGAAGTCACAGTACAATACATAACCCCATACTGTGGTCACAGCATGATAAGTATCACCATACTGTGGGCACAGTACGACACATATCACGAACTGTGGTCAAAGTACGACACATATCACAATACTGTGGTCACAGTAAGATACGTATCACCATACGGTGGTCACAGTATGATACGTATCGCTGTACTGTGGTCACAGTACTACACATATCACCATACTTTGGTCCCTGTACAATACGTATCACCCTACTTTGGTCACTGTACCATACGTATCACCATACTGAAGTCACAGTACGATACAATACTTTTCACCATACTTTGGTCTCAGTACGATACCCATACTTTGGTCACTGTACAATCCGTATCACCATACTTTGATCACAGTACGACACATATCCCCATACTTTGGTCTCAGTACGATACGTATCATCATACTTTGGTCACTGTACTATACGTATCACCATACTATGGTCACAGTACAATACGTATCACCCTACTTTGGTCACTGTACCATACGTATCACCATACTTTGCTCACAGTACAATATGTATCACCATTCTTTGGTCACTGTACAAAACATATCACCATACTTTGGCCACAGTACGATACGTATCATCATACTTTGGTCACTGTACCATACGTATCACCATACTATGGTCACAGTACAATACGTATCTCCATACTTTGGTCACTGTACAATCCGTATCACCATACTTTGATCACAGTACGACACATATCACGAACTGGGGTCACAGTACGATACGTATCATCATACTTTAGTCACAGTACGATACGTATCATCATACTTTGGTCACTGTACCATACGTATCACCATACTATGGTCACAGTACAATACTTATCACCATACTTTGGTCCCTGTACAATACATATCACCATACTGTGGTCACAGTATGATACGTATCGCTGTACTGTGGTCACAGTACGACACATATCACCATACTGTGGTCACAGTACGATACATATCACCATACTGTGGTCACAGTACGACACATATCACCATACTTTGGTCTCAGTCCGATACATATCACCATACTGAAGTCACAGTACGATACAATACTTTTCACCATACTTTGGTCTCAGTACAATAGATATCACCATACTGTGGTCACAGTATGATACGTATCGCTGTACTGTGGTCACAGTACGACACATATCACCATACTTTGGTCTCAGTAAAATACATACCACCATACTGTGGTCACAGTACGACACATATCACGAACTGTGGGCACAGTACGATACGTATCACCATACTGAAGTCACAGTACAATACATATCACCATACTGTGGTCGCAGTACGACACATATCACCATACTGTGGTCAAAGTAACACACATATCACCATACTGAAGTCACAGTACAATACATATCACCATACTGTAGTCACAGTACGACACATATCACCATACTGTGGTCGCAGTACGACACATATCACGAACTGTGGTCACAGTACGACACATATCACCATACTGTGGTCGCAGTACGACACATATCACGAACTGTGGTCACAGTACGACACATATCACCATACTGTGGTCGCAGTACGACACATATCACGAACTGTGGTCACAGTACGACACATATCACCATACTTTGGTCTCAGTAAAATACATACCACCATACTGTGGTCACAGTACGACACATATAACCATACTGTGGTCACAGTACGACACATATCACGAACTGTGGTCACAGTACGATACGTATCACCATACTGAAGTCACAGTACAATACATATCACCATACTGTAGTCACAGTACGACACATATCACCATACTGTGGTCACAGTAAGACACATATCACCATACTGAAGTCACAGTACAATACATATCACCATACTGTAGTCACAGTACGACACATATCACCATACTGTGGTCACAGTACGATACATATCACCATACTGTGGTCTCAGTACGATACATATCTTTGGTTTCTCGGAGAAAAACCACCGACCAACGGCCAGTACCTACCAACTGCCCCACGTAGGCCTCGAACCAAAGACCAGTGGTGGAGGGCTAGTGGTAGTATTTATGCTTTCCTGACTAAAAAGTTCCGTTTTTGTTAAGTCAAAAGATTGCAGAATTTATTTATTTTTGTGGAATGGACAAATGCCATTAATAATGATGACCTAATAGAAAAAATTATCATGACATGACATGGCAGCAAGCTCCCTATTATCCCCCCTTGTCATATGAGATATTCCTCCTGAGGCTAGAAACAGTTATAAACATGTCCAGTGTGATCATTAATCTATATGTATAGGGGAATTTTGTATCAAGCAAGGGGGAAATCAGCAAAATGGGAAAATGTTAAAATAGAAAATACATAGAATAGAAAGTACCCAGAACTGGTCTATATTACTCCCTTCAGCTATCACTCAGACTATTCTTTCTGTTCCAGATGACGGCCATTCCTTTGACAATTGTCTGTTCTACGGTAATGAAGGCACCCTGCTGCTCTTTGATACCCTACTGTTCTGTATCATCGATCTCATCGCTACCAACTTCGTCCTCGCTGGTGTCATCACATACATCATCATGGAGGTAAGTGGAAATCTTCAAGGCACCGTGCTGTTGTGTTACCATAGAAATATCTTACCAGTAAGTTACCATAGAGGTAAGTGACAATCTCCAAGACACCGTGCTGTTGTGTTACCATAGAAATATCTTACCAGCAAGTTACCATAGAGGTAAGGCACCAGGGCTCGCGCTGTCGGTTGCCAAAGTAGCCATTGGCAAATTTCATTTTTAATTGGCTACTAAAAATATGAATTCGTCTTTTTCCATTCAAACGTGTTCTACTGCAATATATATTTGAAAAGTGTAATCTTTCAAAAACATTATTTTACTACAGAATTATTTTACCATTATGTTAAGTAACCAAAGAGGTAAATTACCATAGCGGTAAGGCACGGTGCTGTTATGTTACCATAGAGGTAAGGCACTGTGCTGTTGTGTTACCATAGAAATATTTTACCGTTAAGTTAAAAGTTAAGTCACCGTAGACTGACGTTAATTACCATAGAGGTAAGGCACTGTACTGTTGTGTTACCATAGAAATATTTTACCGTTAAGTTAAAAGTTAAGTCACCGTAGACTGACGTTAATTACCATAGAGGTAAGGCACTGTACTGTTGTGTTACCATAGAAATATTTTACCGTTAAGTTAAAAGTTAAGTCACCGTAGACTGACGTTAATTACCATAGAGGTAAGGCACTGTACTGTTGTGTTACCATAGAAATATTTTACCGTTAAGTTAAAAGTTAAGTCACCGTAGACTGACGTTAATTACCATAGAGGTAAGGCACTGTACTGTTGTGTTACCATAGAAATATGTTACCGTTAAATTAAGTTACTGTGGACTTATGTTAACTACCATAGCAGTAAGGCATGGTTCTGTCGATGTTTTGGGAAATGATTATATACATTATTTACCAGACGTTAAGTAGATTGAAACTTATATCTCAGAATCAGATTTTACTTTAGCTATTTACACTGTGCCATATATTTCTGTATATATATACTGAAGTGACTTGAACTGTACTACATCCTTATCTTAAAATGTACATATTGTTAACTGAAATTTTGTCTGAAGATTTCAATATGAAATATGTGAAACATATTTATATATAAAAGGAAATCAATTTGAACAGCTTTTCTAATTTTTTTATATTTTCAACCCTCTCCACCAATCCCCACTCCCCTGTTTAAAACAAAGAACCTAAAATGATGTTGCACTCAGGTAAGTATAGGACGGTAAGGCTATGTGTCATGTTCATTCAGTAGAAGTAAAAAACAGGCCCAGGGATCATGAAATAACCTTAGTCTTAAGGTATTGCTTAGCCAATCACAAATGATGTCAATTTTCATTACGTTATTTCTGATCGGTTACCGGTAAGTCAGAACTTAAAACTATTTTAGACTTAAGATTGTTTCGTGATCTCGGGGCCAGGTGATGAATGTATTTATAAATGTTGCTGTCATGTTTTTTTTGAACAGATCATCGCCATCATAAGACGCAGTGGAGGGGAAAAGAACTTGGCAAAGAAAACCCTGGTGGATGAGAGGTTCCTCATATAAACCAATCAGAAGCTTTGTACTATCTTGTGTCCAGACTTGCCCTTCCAGTGAGACCAATCATAATCCCTGTACTATCTGGAGATATACAAGTTTCGAGATTCCCCAGCTATTGTGTAATGGACTGTGGACCAAGTTTTCAGGCAGATAAAATTAGCTGGTCATTTATCAAAGGTTTCTATACCAGTCTTAATGTTTTCTGGGATTTAACCTTCGGCGACCATTGACCTGCTTGTGTGCCATTGCTGTCGTATGGTCTGGATGGTCACCCTACATAAATGCAAGGCTCCCAAGTATTGTAGTCTTGTAAGAAGCAGTAATTCAAACTACAGCATTTTGAAATGTGACGAGTGCTAGATCGTAGATATTAGTTGTCCCCCCTGAAACTTAATAATGCTATAGTTACAATATATTCTTTTTGCAAGAATTTGTCTGTGTTTATGTGCACAGCACATTTTCTTTTTCATTATATTTAATCCTTACATAATTGATGTACCAGTGAAAAATGGTAACAATGAAAAAAGGAAAATGAAATAGGTACTATTTATCAATGTTGACTTTGACCTGGTGTTTTTGAATGACATACTTAACATGAGTAAATATTCATGTACAAGGGGAAGTTTCTAAAAATTCTTACTTGTAGTGATATAGAATAAAAGTGGACCAAGTGATGAACCTTGGTGAAAACCTGAACATTTATTTTCAAGGTCACAAGTGAAATGTGGTAAATGACCTTCAAACAAGTTCTCCTATGGAACAATGAGATTTGTCGTATAGCTTGTGATGTTGGAGCGTTATTGTAGTCTAAAGAATGGCTTTGATCCACTCTCAAGGTCATAGGAAGTGAATATGTTTCCTTTAGGACCTGGACTAAGTGGTGAAGGACAGAAACGTGATGTATTTAAAGTAATTTGATAGTGAATGGATGTGAAAGAGGGAGTGGTAAGGTGTAATATATGGCTGAGTGAGCTCGAGTTTAATTGTAAAAACATGTCCAACTTGTTACATTCCATTCTCTGGGTCCAAATAGAACTGTCCACCCGCTAACAGAAACTCGCAGGACTGATTCAGACAGGAGGGCCATGAAACTGTCTAGTTGAATGTTATCATAACGTGCGGGCAGTCACCCATCCAACTACTGACCACGTGAGCGGGTCCCCGGGTTATACCGCATCACTGTAAAAGCTAGCTTGCCAGTAAGGCAGTATTTTCCCCTCATATACCTTAGCTGTGACCCTATCTAATTTTTCAATGCTATGTCAAATCATGATTTTATATAAATGTTCATGAAAATATTGTAATAATTCATGTATGAAATTTAAGTTCCATACTTTCCTAAATAATTATGAATTTTATCCACCACTATATGAAGTACAGACAAGTATTTTGGTGGGATAGAATTGCAATGTACTATGCATGTTTTTGTGAGCCAAATTTTATTGCAATTTTATGTTTTATTAAAATTGAAATAAAAGTACATTTTTGTAAGACATGAAGATCATTCCAGTTCAGAACAGTTACAAATGTCAGGAATTTTGAAGTTTTGAAAATCAAATTCCGGTCTGAACACCGTGTAAGTTTCATGCATGTGGCACTCATGCTATAGGCTCATGTTATTATGAATTTTTCTACTTTGTTAATTCTGGTCCTGGTGCACGTTAAAAAAACGTCCCAAATATGCTACATATCATGTAAGGGGAGAGAGTGTGTGTGAGCGAGTTCTATTTTTTTATTAAACACTTTTTGTACAGTATGGAGGTACAGTTGTGTGCTGTTTTGTATGAGGCTGCTTGTAAAGTGTCAAATCAAAACTCAGATGACCTCTATAAGGTGTGTTTTACAAGTTGTCATAATTTAAAAGCTCCGTCCAATTATGTGAGAAATCATTTTATTATTAATATGGATGTATTTGAACACATATCGACCCAAATATCTAATTGCTTATCCAGTTTCTGTTATTTCATTCTTTATTTTACGCAATTTTTATTTTATTTTTTTATTTTATTTTTTATTAAAAATTTAGGTAAAATTTCAATATATGATCTATTGAACAGATTTATCAACAATAATTATATTCAATCTGTGATCTATTTTTAACAAGTAGCGGGGTTCATCAAATTTCCTTTTTTGTTCTCCTGTAAGTAACATGAAAGAAGTACATTAAGAGTCATAACAATTTAAATGAAAATATCTACAAAGGAAAAATGATGTTATATTTTGGTTTAATGTTGTGTATTCAATCCGATCAGAAACAGAAGCAAGGAAAGATACAGACTTTTGATCTTTTAACCCTTTCACCACTGTAGACCATAATAGACTCATCCAGATTAATGCATGGTAGAGTCTACTAAAGTTACATAGGGGTGAAAGGGTTAATATAGTTAGTGTAATGAAAATTATTCCTAAGGGACCATTATTAGGATGGAAAGTCTGCAAAGCTCCGCAATGAAACAGATTCATGCATATTTACCTATAATCTTTGAATACATTTTTTTGAGCATAGATGACCGATTAGATATTTTGATATGTGTATTTACAAGTTTGACTGTTCCCATAGTGATCAGAATCCTCAATATTGGTGTAAACTTTTGTATCGTGTCAGGTTTTGTATATATATTTAAGACGTATTTATTTATCTTTATCATAAAATAGATACCCTGTGTATTACACTGCTCATCACTTTCACACAGGAACCAGACGATGAGATCAGACTCTGCCACTTCAAGAGTATTTTGTAAACCTGCAGTTACATGTATAATATTCTGTCTCCCACAACCACTAGTAGCTAGATTTCCTCACCATGTCTCATTGGATAAACCTGCCAGGAGTGAGTAAACAATTTTGGTAACCCACTAGTGGGTAACACCCTGGACGTGATTTCATTGGTTAGTCTTTGATTGATGACGTTACGTAATAATGCTTTACAACGTCATTTTCCATTGTGACGTCATGCTCCATGGCCATTGTTTCCCCATCGGAAACATACACAATGTATTTTTCTTTCCAAGGGAAAAATGCGGTCTTTCAGATAAAATACGAGCGTTATGGGAGAAACAGATCCCCAAACTTGTGATGATTAGTTATCACGTTTATCTAGCTAACTCTCGTTAGTTCATTTTCAAATTGTAAAAGACGCTTGGTAAACATCATGTCTTTATACAATTTGAAGATTAACTAACTTGAGTTAGATAAACATGATAATCAACCAGCCCTCGTTGGGGAACCTCTATGTACCACTACAATGACACTACTACAGACATGACTGTAATATCACCTTGACCTGTACTCATGAAACTGTTCTCAAGCTCAAGCATTGATTCTGTGCTCGAACCAATTTTCTTGTAACTGGCTAAAATCATGTCAAAGGATCAAAAAGTCAAATGTTAACATTGAAAACAATATTGGCTTTAAATCTCTTTAATTTTTTTTCCAAATCATTGACAAAATATTTATTTTTTGTTATTTTATTATCAAAACACGAAATTAGGCTTGAGCATCATTTGTTTCATAAATACAGCCCAAGGTCATAGTGACGTCACAAGAATATTGTGTTGACATTGATTTCTTCTTTGGGGACAACATTGTCAGTTTATATCATTGAAGCTTGTGATAAAAGAAATTTTCAAATATGGATGAAACTTACAAATGTCGATTTAATAAAAATTATATGAAATCCTATGAAATGGTAGCTGGTTTGAGATCTTCATTATATATATATCATATTTGTATAGTCATCAGTTCAGATTATATTCATTATTAATATTTTAAGATAGAAAATGTGATTTTTGAGATACGACAAGGTATAATTCTATAGGCTGTAAAACAGATGAAAGCAGAAATAAAATATCAGTGATACACAAAATACCTGTTGTCAGTCTCCTTTTCTGTATTTATTGCTGTATGCTATCAACTTCGGAGAACTTACTTGGCCCATGCTGAGATTTTCAGATGCACACAGTTTTTGTTCCACAAATTAGATTATCTAAGACCTTGATTTGTACATGTTGCTTTTCTACTGTAGTCCATTTCTGATATTCAATCAAAATCTGAAATGGTTATGCTAGTTGAAGTGATCACAGGGACCTGATAATTTGTTGCAGCTATATTTTGTATATATGATGTATTAAGTATAAACAATATTTGGTATATACAATTTGTTTGGTATATATGATATATATGTATATACCATCATTAGAGTTGGGGAGGGGGGCATATTTACCGAGGATCTAAACCCTTAAAACATGAAAAATTACTCTGAACACCTTAGTTACAGGTCCCTGTGTTAAGGTCCAAATCTAGTTGTAGCAAGTTCTCAGGTCCCTGTGTGAACACCCTTAGTTAAGGTCCAAACGTTGTTGTAACAAGTTCTCAGGTCCCTGTGTGAACACCCTTAGTTAAGGTCCAAATATAGTTGTAACAAGTTCTCAGGTCCCTGTGTGAACACCTTAGTTAAGGTCCAAATATAGTTGTAACAAGTTCTCGGGTCCCTGTGTGGACATCTTAGTTAAGGTCCAAATAGGACATTTAATGTAGCTGTCCTATTGTTAAGTGACGACCTTTTCAGACCTACATTACCTGAGCTTTCTTTATCTGGGAAGATCAAGACATATTTATCTTTTCCTGATAAAAAACGTGAACAACCTGTGAAATATGAGAGAACATTTGACTATAATAATATAAACTTTATTTGTTTTACAACAATTATGAAACAAGTTATTTCAACTTATAGCAATCACTCTTCTTGGCCCGGATGTTAGTGCACAGGGGTCTTAGTGCGGGAGAAAACCCACACGGTCGAGTAGGTGACACCAACTCTTCACGTCCGATCGGGGAATCGAACCCCGGCTGCCTTGGTGAAAGGCAAATGCACTATCCACTGCACCACCCCGCCACTCCATTTGACTCCAGGCTGTAGGAGTCTAACACAGTCATCGGAAGTATGAGTGCGATGAAGCCAATGGTCTTTCTTAAAGGGAAAACAGAAAAATCACTGTGGGGATTTAATACAGCTCAAGGTCCAGAAAGCGCAAATGTATGGATAAAAACATACATGTATGTTGATGCAGACTGCCGCGTATAAGGCCCTTTCAGCTCTGCACATAACGCAATATGTTCAGATTACTGTCATCACCCCTGTAACGCCGTTAACAAAATGTCATGGCCCGGTCTTTTTACCAGTGTGGTTACATTATTACAGGTTTTATAACCGACGGCCATTTAAAAATAACTTGAATTATCAACATACACTTATATAGAGGAGTGTGTGTGAACCCCCTGTA